TCTTGATATAAAAATCACATTTCACTCAGACTGACTCAGTAAAGGCTTAATAAATTCACAGACAATTGTTTAGTAAAGTTACTTTATTAAGAAATCTGATATTTAATGTACAGCACATATGTATTGAGTACTAAAAGCTTGCCAAATTTTGTGAAGATACACTTACTACATTCAAAATTATATTATGTATGCTATGTATGTATAATATGTTAACATAGTGGTTACAAGGCTAGTCAAAATGACCAAGCCTTAGATATAGTTAATTAAATAAATTACACAGGCATTCACTAGTTAAATTACATTTTTTTTAAAATTTTGTAAGCTTCAATCCCTCTTACCAGAGCCTTCACAAAGCAACTGAACAATTATTTGTTAACATTAAAAAAACAATTTCAAAATATTCATGGACATTCACTACATTATTTTTTTTTCTGAGCTTTTGGCTTTGTTACCAGAACCTTTAATTGGACAACTAAACAATGGTTTAACTTTCATGTTTCATGAATGTTAACAAACCATTGCTTAGTTGTACTTGAGATGAAGGTTCTAGTTAGAGGGCCAAATGCTCACAATAAAAACAAAACATAGTGAATGTTTGTGTTATTTATCAGTTAAGTATAAATACCTTTAATGTGAATCCTAAATATTATTACTAGTCTTTCTTGATACCGATGTTTTTCAGTTTATTTCCATAAGGAAGGAACCTAATATAGTTCTGCCACTTAACATGTTTGTTTTTTGTTGTTGTTGAACTAGACATATCATTTAAAATAATAAATGTCTTAAATGCATGTAAAATTTAAAATTAACACAATAATTTTTAATTCTCTAAGTCAAGACAACTAATTTTTAGTGAATGAACTGATTAGATACGTGTTTTATAGCCTTTTAAACTATATAACTGGTATTTGGTAAAAATTTGCTTTTAGCTGCTATATAATGCAATTTATCTTAGTCTGTTAGTCAAAATACATATATCAAGAGTAATTTTTCAGCAATTTTGACCTTTTCATCTTTTGAACAATTTTATTTACTGTGTAGAATTTTTCTGTTTTATTTATTTTGATTAAAATACTTATCTTAAGATAATAAAGATGCTTATAAACTGATTTTTTGTACTTATTTTTAATGATTTTTCTTCCAAGCTAGGATTTTATCCTCACATAGAAAGAAATGCAGTTTTAATTTTCTAAACAAAATTTTTGAATTACTTAACAGATATTGTCTTAATCTTTAATCTTTTCTTACAGAATAGTTGAGTTGACAAATATCATATACACACACACACACACACACACACACATATATATATATATATATATATATATATATATATATTGAGGAATTCTTTCAAAACTTCAAAATTTTTTTGCATAAACATATATGTCCAGCTGTCTTGAAATGTTTGTTAAATTGTTTTTCTATTCTAGTTCCTCCAAACGGTCTTGTAATTTATTGTGGGACAATTGTAACAGAAGAAGGCAAAGAAAAAAAAGTCAACATTGACTTTGAGCCATTCAAACCTATCAACACCTCCTTGTACTTATGTGACAACAAGTTTCATACAGAGGCAAGTTAGTAAACATGTTATTTGTGTTCAGACTCCACACGCACATTGAGCAAGTTACATATATGTACATAGATGAGCTACAAAGTTAGAAAACCTGTAAAGAGTCATCAGCATGTTCAACTTCTTGGACATGTGTACATATAAATGAGTTAGTAGTGTGTTAAACCCATTCATACTAACATCTCTTTGTACTTGAGTTACAATAAATTTCATACAGAGGTGAGTTTGTTAAGGTAAAGTGAGTTTGGATAACTTGCTAATTTTCTTTAAATTCTTTTTTTTTTCTTTAGCTAGTTTATTATTCATGTACAAACTCAGGAACCCTCTAACATTTCTTTTTCAGGAACTTATTATTTCTAAGGAGGCTTTTCATTTTTAATACTGGTGAGAACATAGAAAGTATATAATTCAAGAACCACAAGTAAAATAGATATAATATTTGTTGGAACAGATAGAAAAAGTTGTTACTACTGAATTTTCAGTTGTGTGCAGGAGTTATGTATTGTATAAAGGATAATGTAAATTTTTTTTTTCATGTAAGCTCTATTATTGCTAACTACAATCACCAAGATCTGTGTATATTTTTTACAGAAGAATCTGTTCTTATGTTTGAATAGTTGTTTGGTTGCTAGAATATAGGTTGTTGTCATTTATTTGAAATTGCATTACAAGTCGCACAGTATCTAATGTTAAGATTACTTAATACTTTTAATTATACTCTAAGTTGTTTCTTCAGATATCCAATTAACTAAAATGAGTTGGTTTATGATAGATGTAGAAAGAAAACAATTTATAACTTGCAGTCATGAAAGGTCTGTTTGTATTTCGGGATTTTGTGTGTTTTAAGCACCATCTCAAGTTCTTTGAAAGGATTTGTATTTTATTGTTTAACAAACAAAATGCCAAGTGTGAAAAAACAATTGGTTTCAACACAATTAGATCTATGAAAGACACAAGGTTATAATAGTGAGTCTAAGTGTTTCTTTGTTTTCATTTTGTAAAACTTGTTTCAACAAATAAAGGTATTATAAAAATAATATTCAAGTTTAATTCTGGTATCTTCTGTATGTAATAAATAGAAAGTAAATATATATCCTTATAAAATGAAAGATGGTTAATAAATATTGTCTTACAATAAGTATCTTTATTGAAATGGGTCAACATGTTCAAATGAGAAATGTTGAACAGTTCATGGACATTTTTGTCCTGGGCTTCCACTGATTTTGAGCTCTAATAATAATAATACATCTTATTGAACTTCTTACACCAAATAATTAATGGTATGTATAGTTGTACTACATTTGCTGTTTTTTTGCAGTTTAACTGATAATGGCCAGTGACCACTTCAGCATATTAATTGTTTAATGATTAAAGTGTTTTTCATTCTTCCCCCTTTTTCTCATTTCCTTGCTATATTAAACTTCACTGAATTTAAATTTTACTTTGTTCAAAAGGTCTGAGATATAGCCACTTCTTGCCTAAATTCAATGGGTTAACGAAAAAATATCTCGTTTATCAGTTAAATAAAGTTAATGTGTAAATTCTACTGTTTTATTTTTTAGGCTCTGTCAGCTCTTCTAGCAGATGATAATAAATTTGGTTTTATTGTCATGGATGGTAATGGTGCTCTCTTTGGAACTCTTCAAGGAAACACACGAGATGTTCTCCATAAATTCACTGTTGACTTGCCTAAAAAGCATGGTAAGTTGTTGTTGAAATCAAATTTTTTTAAATTAAGATTTATAAATTAGCTATAACAAGCAAGTGTGTGTAAACCTTTTTGAATCTTAAAACTATTGGAAATATTTAGATGAAATTCTAATGTACAGAAAAAACCTCAACTAGGAAAAGTAAAAAGAAATAAACATTGTAGCATTATTTCATCATCTAGTTGTAGGGATGAAAAGAATATAACAGTTTTGTGAATTAAGGTGTGTAAAATCATTTACCAAATCTGCATTATTTGTTGTGGCAATTTTAACTAATTTTGAATATGTATTTATAGTAATATTAATATTAACTTCCAATCAGAGCAATGTATGTATGCAGAGCAAAACTAAAAATCAACCTGACAATCAGTGTAGCTAATTATAAATAATAGAATGCATTTTATTATCAGTGTGATACACTTGCTATTAACAAAAATATCTCGCAAGGTTCAGTCAGGTTAGATTTAGGTTAGTCCTAACTACAATCATTTAGCTAACAATGCAAAACAACCTTTATAATAAAAGTATAATAACAGTAAATAAAATTAAAAAAATAACACTTCATATATTAAACAGTCTAACCAATACTGTTAATAATAGTATCAATAAGTAAATAATATAGTATAACTTATTTAGAGAACGTAGAAACACTAGCTGTTGGCTTGAACTTGTGTTGTTGAATTATTTTTCTCTTGAAACATCAGTACAACATGCCTGAATTTTCTCCAGTTTTTTTAACATATCTTTTGACCAGTGAAAAACTCGTTAAGTGACTCTATGGTGTAACTTCAGAGAAGAGTGGCATCTGTGACAAATTAATGACATGTTACTGTTTAAATTGTGTCACGTTAGTAGCAGTAATTTACCTATAGTACAACCAAAAATTAATATTTATAAAGATACAAAATGATAAGAAATTAAAAGAATACCCAAATTGTCCATGACAATATAAAAATGTTAAACAAATGTAATACAAGGAAAAAAACATGCTAGGTGTATCTAACGTTTACCACTCTCACTTTAACTAACCTCCGACGCTTAACAAATACATGCAACTGTATACAGAAAGTAGTAAAGAACATTAACTCTTCTGTAAATGATATCTATAAGTGATAATTATTAACTTTGCTTTAATATTAATAAAATAGATATTGTGTTTTGATGTAGATCTGCCAACTTATTTCATTTTATTTATAGATAAATAAATTTAAAACTTAGAATAGCATTGTGTGCATATTCACTGATCACTCCTCCATGCTACCAAAATTTACTTTGTGTGTGTGTGATTTTAATCATAGCTAAAGTTTGACGAAGGAAAAAGCTATATATTTATCTTATTTATTCAGCCAATTTCAAAAAGTTTTTAGAATACACATGATTTGGTATTTTAAGACTTCATGCATCTTATTCATTTGATATAAATACCAACTAAATATCATTCTTATGGTTACATTATTACTCATTTGCTTGTCTTTTACACATCATTGGGTTGGTTACCTTCCACATTCTCTGGGAAAATTTAATCTTTATTGTAATGTTAATTGTAGGAACTATCAATACTTGAGTACTAAAAGCCCATATAATGTCAGTTACTACTGAGAATGCATCATATGATAACATTTGTATTGTGGCATTTTTGCAAAACAAACTTAGATTTTGTATGACAAATCTCAAGTATAACCCAAAAATGCAGTTTGGCTAGTAACAGCATAAACCATGAAATTCTTCTCACTTGTATTTGTTTTTACCAGTTCCGAGATGATACCTTGTCTCTTCACACAGAATAGCTTAATCCCTTGTGCATTTGCCAATGAGATTTGCATGCCACAAGCCTTGAGCTAACTAACTTCTAAGAATCACATGTTTAACATGAACCATACTAATGCTTGATGACATAATCATGTGATGATAGTCCTCCACCAGTACGAGCAAGGCCAGCAGAAGTGGTAAAGCTGATAGGGTTAAAGCCCTACCACATTTTAGGCTAGTGGTCATGTGACTTCAAACATATTATTGATCAATAGAGTAGGAAATTTGATTACTTTTATATGAGCTATATATACACACACAAACTAAGAAAGTACATGACAAACCTATAATAACTGTGACATTGTCTATCTATATAGTTTTCTAAGTGTGCTGAAGAGTCATTTAACTCTCTCAACATGGGTTTGGTCATATCTAATGATTATTATTATTACTGAATTGTGTGTAAATAAATAAAATTAAAATTGCAGATAATCACTGTATCTTATGTCAAAAGAATTGCCTCAAATGCAAACTCAAAGCATAAAAAAAAATCAAAAATGTTCTGGAGGGGCATGCTCCTGGACCCTCTAGATTAGGCTGCCTCTGGCAGCTGTATAGCTGCACATTTGATGGCCCTAGCAGCAAAATGTAGCTTCCTCTGGGCACAACCTCCTTGCACAGTAATTCCTCCTAAGCACTTGCACACAAAATAATTCCATTATTTTCCTTGGCATTGTCTTGAACAGATGTGCTTTTTAAAATTATTAATCAAGTACATTAAAGTTTAATTGGTTTCTTTCACTACTTAAGAAAAAGGGAAAAAAAACTTTTTTTTTGCTTACCCATTATGAATTCTCAAGTGACTGTACTTCTACTTTGTCTTGTGATGGTGACGATGTTACTAACACGGGACCTGTGACTACTGGCAGCTCATTGTCTATGGAGGACATGACGAGAATCAAGGAAAGGAAATCAAGAATGACTGTAAGCCAGGACAAAAGAGTCAAGTAGGTAAGGATGACAAAGCATGTGAGTATGGGTGCATAATTGTTCAAGAAACAAGTCTGCATGAACCCTAATATCAGGTGAAGGAGGGAAAACAAAGTAATCCTGTGTATGGGTTTCATGTAGTAAAGAACAGGAGGAATTGATAGATACTGGAGAAAGAGAAAGAAAAGAACATACCTGTGAAATCATGTCAATAAAGAGATTAGAAGGTTGACGATTTTCTTCCACAGATAAAGTAGTACCTCCAGCCAATCCTAGTGTGGGAAATAGTCAGTCAAAAGCATTGTCATCCTGGTCATGTTCAAACTGAGGAGAAGGAACGTCAGCTGAACAGATGGGAGAAGGAGACCCCGTATACATGAGGGAACCCACGACTGATTGAATAATATTTAATCATTGGAATTTTGTTTTACCTGTTTGGTGAGTGGACCCCTTAACTTCTATTTCACTTTCTAGTGCCCAGTTTTCATGCCTTCTTCTCTTTCTTACCACTCTCCTATGTTACCTCTCATCCTTTCACCTTATTTCTGAGGCACTTCCTCATGTTTGGGAAGGGTTTTCTTCTATTCACCATTTCAGACTGTGCTACTTCTACTCTATCCCTTATTACTTGGTTCCTCTGCTGTTAGGACTTGTTGGTTCACTATGATCTCCTAACTAATGTTCACCTGCCTTAATCTTATTTCCATGACCTTCATTGGGTTCCTTTTCTTTGTCCATGGGTCTTTGAGGTGTTCCGGACTCTCTGGGGACCTAGGCTGAGGTGGCCTAGCATCAGTCCACATTGTTTTCCTTGGTTTCTTGTCTTTACCAACCTTGCCATTCTGTTCCTTTACTTAGGCTTACTCAATCTATATCTCTCCTTCCCATTCCAGCTTCCTGATCTTCTTCTTCCTGTCCTCCCACTTTGCAGTGTCAGGGTTTTTGCTTGTTGTGTTGGTGATTATTCTGTTGGGTTTGGCTCAGTGAGCACCCACCTGTCTTGCTTCACAAGCTTTTGCTCCCTTTTTTTTGGTCAACAGATGGGTTGTTTGGGTTCTCACCTTCCGCTTCTCTTCCTGTTTCCTTTCTTCCTCACTTCAACCCCAATTATCTTCAACATCTCAAGGATGTAGTCTTGGATCTCTTGGACAAGAACACCATATACTCCAGTATATTTTATTCTCATCTCTTTCTGGTCCCCCAAAAGACTGGGGACTGGCATCCAGTTATTGATGTGTTTTCTTTCAACCAGTTTTTAATGGATGACCAAGGTTGATGTATCAGACACTTTTTGCATATTCCTATTGTCCTGTCCTCCAGACATTTTTCTGTTTCCTCTATTGGAAACATGTCTTCCAGTTGTGTGTTCTTCCTTTATGTCTATTCCTTATACACTTAATCCTTTAACTACCGGCTACCAATTCGATTAGCACCTAACCTTGCTCTCATCTTATTTTGTTCCAAAAATAAAACTAGTGGATGAAATTGTGTAAAATTAGATAAGAACATTCCTGAAAGTATGTACTTTCAGAAAAATAGAATATTTAATTTTAATTTTTTTTGTACTGTTTCTAATAAAAAATTTTTATTTAATTTAATTATTTGCACTTGGACTCTCAATAGTTCAACTGCAAGGTGATTTTAATTTTGAGTCGAAAAATACTATTTATTATATTAAAGTTTCATATTTCATTTGCATAATTTTTAGAACCTCCTAAATGAATATCAAAAGTTTTTAAATTAAAAGTTTATATTTTATTTTCCATTTTCTTTACTTTATCACTAACTCTAGTTATTATCCTCAATGTACAATGTAATGAAATGTTTAAAATTAATAAATGGAAATATGAACATATCTTTTAACTCTTTGTAGATTCTGTTTACAACTTGTGTTTTTCGTATGTGTAATTTCACATCTTTATCTTTTTACTTATAGTTTATTTTTAATTTTCCTTTCCAATTCTCTGTCTTTTATTATTTATGCCGATATGGTATCTGGTGCCTACTAGCCTCAGGCTTTATTATTATTGTTATAAGGCAACTCCCATACAGAGATTTGTTTCACTAATGCTTGCACATTCGAATGATGCCATCTTGTATATACACTTTCACAATCCAAATGACAACTTCTTGCAATTCATTGGGAATGTTACCATTTCCTCCCCTTTCTTGTGGATTGGTTTTTCATGATCCACTCTGACAATTCCATGGTTGTTTCTTGTATCAACCATTGGAGGTATACCCATTCCAAGACTCTATGCTCCCATGTATTGGACTTGCTATTTTGGGCTCATTCCAATCAAATATATCTCATAGCTTGTCATGAGCCAGGTGCTATAGTAGCATATCACCTCTCTCAGCTGTACTGAATTCTATTTACCCATGGAATGTTTTTTTGTTGGGTTTGCTCTCAGTTGGGGACACCCCTCATTGATGTCTTTGCCACTCCTCTCAACACCAAACTTCCACTATTCTTCTCCCCATTTCCTCATCCTTTGGTCCTGAGGGTTGATGCTCTTAGCCAGGACTGGTCTAATCTTTTTCTGTTTGTCCATCTTTCCATTTGTCTCCTCTTATAGCCTCACCTTAATATGCAACATTCCTTGTCAGTTCCTGTTGGTGGCATTTCTTTAGCTTGCTTATCTCTGGTTTCCATTGCTTCATCAGTTGGCATCCACACACCTCTCTTCCTCTGCCCCTATCCACCTATTTTTTGCTCCAACCTCACATGTTCCTTTTTACACAGGGATTTTGTCCCTTCATCTTCACGTGTGGCATTTGTCAGTTTGTTGTCCACACGGCCAAACTCTCTGTTCATGTAGCCTTCTTCTCATCCAATTCCTGTCATACTTTATCTTTGTCTGTCTATCAATAGAAGTGGCGAGTTTCTCAACATTATTCCATCTGTCACTCCCTTCCTCCAGGCCATCCTACTGTGATTCACCTTTCTGCCTTTTTCACATGACTGTTGGACTCCAACATAGTTGGTTATCGGGCGGCTTTGTCATCTAGATTTCACCTTTCCTGTTGCCACTAGGTGTTTTCTTCCCCTGTCTTCTTCTTCTTTTTTTATTCCTCCTTTTTCACTGACCCCTTCATCCAACTCCTATGCCTGACTGGGACCCTAATATGGTTTTACATACTCTCACTCATGCTCTGTTTGAGCCATTGGCTTTCTGTTCTTCATACCATTATTTTCTGAAAACATACTTTCTTATCCTTTTCACTTATGGTCACAGTCATTCAGATGTATATGCCATCGATGTTTCCTGCACTCTCTTTCACTGTCCATACTTACTTTACCCAGACTGGCTTTTTCTTCCTAAGACTTCAGCTGCCTGGGAAGATGATTGTTCTTTTTCTTCTATCTCTCTCCCCTCTTTTCCATCTCTATGTTTGTTTTGACCTGGGTCTTCTTCTGTGTCTAGTTCAGGCTGTTTGGTGTTATTTAGCATGAAAATCTCCATTTCGGGGTTCCCATCATCGTTTGTCCCTTCCTTGGGACCCCTCTTCATGAAGGGATCTCTTGCCTCCTAACCTTACTGGATGGGTTTGCCAACTTCTCCGGTTGGTGTATTCTTCCAAAATATTGATGCTAACAGCCTTTTGTTGCATCAGATTAATCATCTGTCTCACTCTCTTGCATCTCATTTTCACTGACGCTTGGATGAGATCCTTCATGATGGCATATGGACAAATCCACACATGTTCGTCTCCTATTGTCTTCATCATCTGGCTGTTTCATTTACTGTGGGATTTTGACTCCCTCCAATTGCTATTCTTCAATCTAGACCCAATCTTTGAGAAGAGAAAGGATCCTGCCAGATGACTGGTGTTGCCTCCTAGGGTATGCAAAAATTATTTCCAAAAATCTGCATTGGGCCAGGGGTAACAAAAAGCACTCGGTTCATCATTCCTTACTCTACCAGCACCCACTGTTAAGATGGGGTGTTCCACAGGACCATCAGAGATATTCTCCTAGAAGTGACTGTCCAATGTTTCTGGGTTATGCTTGCTGGTTTTTTAAAAAATAGGGTTTTGCTATCACCTATTGTGCTGTCTCCAGTAAAAGACCTTTCCTGCAGGCATCTGATGGAGATCCTGCCACTTATCTGGGTCTTCTCAGTGTGACTTCTCTCCACCCCCTTTATCACATGGAGCATGGGAATCCTTGCTACTTACCAGTACTTAACCACTGGGATGGTAGGTTTTGGAGAGTTCCTCATAGATTGTGTACAATACAGTATGATGAGAAATAGGGGTTGTGGGGTCATTGTGTAGTGTGAGTTACCCCTCATACAGCTAGTTTGCCCTTCTCCTTCAGCAAGGACAGGTATGTCACCCAGATCTCTGTCTATCCAGTTAAGTCAAGGCTAGACACACACAATGTACACTACACTTTTTGGCTTACTTATCACTTGTGTGGGGGTGCTCAGTTGGTCATGGTAAAATTCTGTCCAACCCTGTGATGGTGGGAGCTCTTTTGCTTTTTCCTCAGCTTCCTCCTGGGCAGAAAGTATATCCTGGTTGGGACGAGATACAGTTTACCCTAGACATACCTCTATAGAGCCCCTTCCATCAGGTGTCACACTCCATGGGCTTTCCCTACAGGTGCTTTCTGAAGGGAGTTTATCTAAGTTTAATGTTTGCATTGTCTCTTCCACCATTCCACTGTGGGATTCTCGTTGTTCTGTGTGAGAAGGTGAGGTATTTTCTCAAAAATTAACATTTTCCTTAACTGAAAATGTATTTGTGATATATACCCACCCATCTTCCCCACATCCAGAGTACTTTCTTTTTGCCTTTGAGTGAAAGTGCTTAGGGAGAGTTACTGAACAAGAAGGTTGTTGCCTTCCAGGGGTGTAAAGGTAGCAAAGTAACTTTACTTGAGTACAGTACTAGAGTAACGTTTTTCAGTATCTACTTTTTAAAAAGTATTTACATTTTCAAATAGTAATTTTTAGGAGAATTACTTGTACTTTTACTCCACTACCTTTCATTTTATGCATTTCTTTACTATTTTCAAAACTCAAAACTTGAGGCAGGCAGTTAAAACACAAGGCGTGCATGGGAACATAAATCAGCCAATCGTGTACATTACTTACATCAGCAGGTTTGCTATCCCCCTCGTGGCTGGCCAAGTTGCAAGCATCACTCTTTTCCCATGGTAGCTCGTGTGTGTAGGATGTCTGACTCCAATATCATTTCTCTTGAAGATAATGGCAATCCTGGGCCAAATTTTTATAAACTGTCCAAGATTAAATGCATTGCGAATAATTTTATGTCCCTATAATGTATGCTGTGTTTTGTTTTTAGACCTCATGGCCAGGTGGTTAGGGTGCTCGACTTGTGATCTGCAGGTTGCTGTGGGAGTGTTATAATGTGATGGTCAATCCCACTATTTGTTGGTGAAAGATTAACCCAAGAGGTGGCAGTGGATGGTGATGACTAGCTGCCTTCTCTCTAGTCTTACACTGCTAAATTAGGGACAGATAGTGCAAATAGCCCTCGTTTAGCTTTGCACGAAATTCAAAGCAAACAAACAAGACCTCATGGCCCACAACATACATGTAGGGCTTGAGAAAACTGCAGATGAGTGTACTTTTACTTTTGTTACTTGAGGACTTGTTCAGTAGATACTTTTTTTACTCTAACTTAAGTAAATTTCAGGATGGATACTTTTACTTGTACTTGAGTAACTTTTTGACAAAGTACTTTTACTTGAACTTGGGTAACATATTTTAGTACTTTTTACACCTCTGATGCATTTCTATTAGTGAAGGACTGTCGTTGCATGATGATGTTATCATGCACTTGCACAGTTCATGTTAATCACATGTTTTTTAGATGGGAGTTAGCTCAAGAGTAGTGGCATGGAAATTTATAGACAGACCTGCAAGGAATCAAGCTATTATGTGTATAGAGATGAGTATATATCAGAAATACATTTTCAAGTAAGGAAAATGTTAATATCAGCATTTCATTTCAACTTCTTTGAGTATTGTTTTAAGATGCCTTAAACTTGTTATTATATATTGTAGTTACATAAACAATATAATTTGTAGTATGGAATATTTTACAACATGCTGAAAATGATCACAAAAATATGTATACATAAGTAGGAATTGTTAAGCAGTGTTGAGCATAACATCTTTATGAATCACCTACAGTAATTTCTCACTTTACTGTATTGTATAGTTATAAACTAAAGGAAGAATCTTTGCTTTAATATAATACCTTTAACGAAAAATAGAAGCTGAAAGTTATATTCAGTTATCTTATTTTGGTAAGCAAGTAAAGCTGAACTGAGACTAATATATTTTATAAGTTTTAAGCTAAAAGTGTTAGCTAATTCACTTTTCTGTTTCATTGTTTCTTCACCCTAGGCCGTGGAGGACAGTCAGCACTTCGATTTGCTAGATTAAGAATGGAAAAAAGGCACAACTATGTACGAAAAGTAGCAGAAGTAGCAACACAGTTGTTCATCACAAATGATAAACCTAATATTGCAGGTCTAATTCTAGCAGGATCAGCTGACTTTAAAACAGAACTCAGTCAGTCTGACATGTTTGATCCTGTAAGTTACTTAGAAGTAATTATTTAAATGTTTAAAGTAACAAAGAGTTATTTATTGCTTCATGTGCTAGTGTACTTTCTAAAATTATATTACTATGCATCATATTGCAATCTACTTTTGGAGGTAATGTTTTAAATAAATGCTCTGTTTTTCATAGTTTGTGCTTTCAGTTTGTAACACCTAGATTATCATTCATTGAAAGTTTTATTTCATCCTCCTCTTGTAACTTATGCAAGAAATGGATGCTGTTTTGTAATGCTTACAATATTCTGGTCAGTAACCAAGGGGTGTAATCTAGTAATTAGTTTGATGTTAGTGAAAGTCTATCTTAATAACTCTTAACTCTCAAGCTAGGAGATTCTGGTAACGTGTTATAGTTGTTGTAAAAAATGGAGATGACTGTGTGTTTAGGGATTTGGTTTGATGTGCAGCAAAATCACTTGAAAAGATTGAGGATTAATTTGAATTTATATTAATTCTCTTTTAAAAGACTATATATTCTTGAGATAACATTGTTTAGTGACATTTTTGCTATTTGAAAGGTGACTTTGGACTTTGTTTTAAATTATGCTTATCAAGAGTGTAAAGGTGTTCACAAATTTGGTAAAACATTTTACATTTACTTGATTAACAGTAAAATGTTATAGTTATAAAATGCGTAGTGAGTCTTAAAACTTACCTGTATTACTGATTCTTCAGTGTGAACTGCTATGTTAAATATTCTGTGCCACAAATAAAAAATTTTGTTGTTGTTGTTGTATTTGATATTGAAAAACATTAATATTTCTTTGTACAGAGACTTCAAGCAAAGGTTTTAAAGCTTGTGGATGTATCCTATGGAGGGGAAAATGGATTTAACCAGGCAATTGAACTTTCTGCAGAAGTACTTGCCAATGTAAAATTTATACAGGAGAAAAAACTAATTGGTAAACCTCTCTGTAATCTTATGATGATAGTTTTTAGATATAAAATTCTTTAAATAGACCAGTTTACTTTTTCACTCAGAGGTTTATTGAATTATGTTCTTACAAAGTCACTCCATTGAACTGAATTTTTTGCTATGCACATTACTTCCATTACTTATTCATTTTGTAGAAAAATAGACCATAGTTTTTTATGGTCTATTTACCATCCTTGATTTCCAATGCCTGTTTATAAAAAAAGTTTTATATATCAGTTATGGATTTTATCAAATTCCTTCGCAATCTGAATATATTTTTATGATCTGAGTATATGAATATTTTGTGTGTATCCTTCCCAAAAAGAGTCAACTTTTAGTGACATCAAACAATCTATAAAATACAAAACAACATCAGAATGTAGTTGTGATATACCATCTTACTGTAACTTTATATTGGCAGTGGTTGTCAAAAATAGATCTTCTTATGTAAATTCATGTATCACATCCTTTTTCTTATTCATTATATCACCTTGACCATCTACAAACTTTAATTTTAAGAACTACTAGCATTTTATTGAATTTTCAAAAAATATTTTACTTGTATTTATAATGCTTATTACTTTTTAAGCCTCATTTGATAGTATGCCCAATGCTAGTTGTACAAAGACAGCAACTTCCTAAAATGAAATGATTTAAACTAATTCTGAATGTTTTTCTTAACAAAAAGGTAATTTTGTATTTTATGTGTTCAACTTAAGTACGTTACATTTTATATATAGTTTTGAATATCAATTTGAAAACACCAACATTAATCTTGTTTATTGTATAGGTATGGGTGTGTGTGTACATTTGAGTTAAAATTATGAAATTGGTCTTTCTGAAATTGAAGTAATTTGGTGTAATACTGAAGTACAGATATATTTATATGCAGCTAAGAAATGTAACAAAATCTACATTTAGCCTAAAAAAGTTGGTTAAAATGGCATAAATATATTCAAAATGGATCATCTATTATTCCACAAGACTTGTAGTTTTTCAATTTCATATTTTATTCAGTGCAATTAAACCATTGCACATGTCTGCTTTCTGGATTCGTTAAGTAAAATACTTCAGGAAAATTAGCTAAGAATGATACACTAACAGCTATAGCTAATTGAGTACTGTATGTTGTAAACTTCCCAATAATCAAATTAGCCTTTTTTACATTTGACTATAATGACAAACAACATCAGCTGATTTAACTCTTCATAGTTTTTTAATTAAGATTAAGACAACACATATACTCATCTAGGTTTATTTTTTTAAATTGCTTCTTTTTTTTATCAAACTGAAAAAAAACCTTCTGTAACCTACTTGAAAATATCACACATCAACAGCAAATATTTATTCATCACCAGAAACAAAACTTTTGGCATGCAAGGCTATTGTATTATATTAACTTATTTGAATATTGTGTAAACTTTAAAGGATTCCCTTGTACCCTGATTATAATGTCTAGTAATGAATGAAAATATTCACTTAGGTGCCATTAACACTAGAATGTAATTCACCATTTGTTTGATATCAGTGTAAAATCATTCACTGTTACTATTGTTTCATTTTAGACAGGATACACATAATCCCACCTTATATACTATTTGTCATGTCATACTTTTTTAACATAATGTAAAAGAATAATATTAAGGCACATGGTCGGAAGATAATTAAGATGTGTCTGATCCAAATCATAGGCTAAATACTGGACTTGCAATATTGTTTCTTTATCACTAGAATTCTAAGAAAAAGATTAAGTTACTTTTATTCATTAGAAAAATGAATGATTTGTATAAAAGAGATGTTATAGATCCAGTTCTGTGGAGTGGAAAGAAGTATTGTTCGGTAAAATATGCCTTTTGGTCATGTGCATATATGGCATCTTTTGAGACTTGTATTATTAGCTTCCGCTTTGCTGACATCTTGGATCCATTTTTTCTTTTGAACTTTTTGCATAGCTTTTTTTTCCAGTGTTGGTCATCAAAGTTAGAAATGCATAACTTCATAATCAAAATTCTTCTTTCATTAGTTATCTGATGTTGCAACTTTTGTCATAAGTTTTGTAGATTACCTTAAAAAACTGGGAAGCAACTGCTGTTTTCACATCATACATACACATAATCCCACCTTATATACACAAAACATTGCCTATTCATTTATTTTGTTTTTAGGGCGTTATTTTGATGAAATATCTCAAGACACGGGAAAATATTGCTTTGGTGTTGAAGATACACTCAAAGCCCTTGAAATGGGATCTGTTGAAATATTGATCTGCTGGGAAAACTTAGAAATTAATCGCTTTGTTCTGAAAAATCACGCATCTGAGGGTAAGTCATAAGATACCTTGTGTTTACCATTTTGTAGGTTAATAATTGTCAAAAATTTAGTCATTATAGTTTTCAATATTTTTTATCTTCTTTTGTTGACAAAAGTATTTAGAAGCTTGAAGATGACAAAATATATTTATTTTATATATAATTTAAGTATTTCCTTTTATTTTATACACTAATGTTACATATTGCCATCGTTTTAAAAGAATTGTATTAATGTTGTACTGTGGATCATTAGGTGGAAGTTATATATAATTTTCATATTTTCTTTCTTTTTCAGAGGAGAAGGTACTTCACCTGACACCAGAACAGGAGAAAGATAAAACACATTTTGTTGATAAAGAAGTAAGATTTTTTCGTTTGGACACAGAAAGTTTAATTCTCTATAACTTGATACTGGAATTTGTTTAAAGTTGTTATGTAAGGTGAATTTCATTACCTTATTTGACATTTTTTGGGTTTATGTATAGTGTGGGATTCCAGGATGGATGCATTTATATATAAAAAAAAAAACATATATTTTGTTATCTAACTCATAAACATTTTCATCTGTATTGTAGTGTTAGGATGCTACTTGTCAGTTATTCTTTCAAATCATATTTTTATCTTATGGTATACTGTGACTTGAAAATTTAACCTGCCAGATCTGCCTCTCCTTTTTATTCATGATTCCTGCAGGTGGACTCCTTTATTGCAGTGAGTAGTTCCATAACTAACAGTTTAAATAACCATAGAAGTTTCAGTCACTAATAATGATAACCACTTTTTCTTTATTGCTTTGCAAAGGAATTTTAAATAAAACTGGTATGATAAGTTTTTCTTTACTTTTACAGACTGGTGTTGAATTAGAGTTGGTTGATTCCATACCCTTGCTTGAATGGCTAGCCAACAATTACAAATCATTTGGTAAGATTTTAAAAAATAATAATAAGTTGAAAATCCTAGTAGTTTATAGAGTACTTATCAAATTATTCTAAAAATATATAATTTTTCATTTAACATTAATGGGGAAAAAAAAATTCAAGAAGTGCTTTTAACTGTTATTAAGATGGATAAAGCTTTGTATTATCACAAAGTTAATGTGCATTATTTTTATTAATGAGCATCTTTTTTGGTTTCCTGTCTGATCATAATAGATAAATTGCATTTAGACACGCATCATTAGATGTGTTATACAAGAAGTTGTAAATTACAAATCATTTATATGAATATTTTGTTTATTGTGGTATATATATCTTATATTTGAAGGCCCTAAAATTTAAGCATAAACTTAATTTATTATTGTCTTGAAGCATACAATTGTAAGCACATTATTACCGTAAAAGGTTGTAATAATTATGACAGTGACAAATTAACTGTATTATGACTGTGCTAAGAATTTTATACAAGATTTGGTTTCATTTTTGTTTTGTGCAGAAGAAAGAATTTTCTTTCACAGCTGTATAGGAAATTATTTAGATATAATTGTTCTTTTTTTTCTTTTTAATGATTTAGGTACCACTTTGGAGATCATCACAGACAGATCTCAGGAAGGATCACAATTTGTCAAAGGATTTGGTGGCATTGGAGGTTAGGTTTGTTTTTGTTCTTGTTATTAAAGTGGTAATGTAGATTGTGGTGGATCTCTTACTTACCTAAAGCAATTTCTAGAGCACTGTTCTGTGGGGTTCTCTTTCCAGGATGTCAGCCAAAATGCTCTAGGTATAAATTCTAGATACTTTATTGCATGTTGCAAAATATTATTTATACTGATACAGATTAAGTGTAAAAAAAAAACATTTGTCATCCCCCTTCACTTGAAAGAGTAATCTAGACTTACAGCGAGGCTTATTAAGTACAATATGCGAGTATAGGGCAATTTTATTGTTTTGTAGTTTAAGAAAACAACTACCAGTTAAGCATTTATGAGTAAATAGTAATAATAATAATAATGCTAAATTCTGACCATTGAAGGAGAATAACTAATGTCCAAATACCTACCAGGTCTATTAAGTCAGCCCAGACTTTGAACAGAGCCATATCATAAATATTTTCTCACATTTTATTAATTTAGACAATTCTTGTTGTAACCACTGTGCTTTAAACAAGCTGATAAATCCTCTACCACTGTGTTCTCTGAGCCAGAATTATGATAAACTATGTAAGAAAATTCTGGTAATTGCACCATACAAACTTATTTGCTACAGATGGTGTTGTATTACAGTATCATGTAAATAGTCTAATGGCAGGGTGATTCATTGCTTTATGATTGACAGATTTCTACTTCATCTGCTAACAGTGAAGTAAACATATGAAATAGATGTGAAAAGGTTAGAAGTAGAAAATGGTCAGGGGAAGTACTTTGGAACATTGTGGTTAATATTAAACAGAATAGAAAAGTACTGCTCATTTTATTTTGCATTTTTCAACCTTTAAAGTTTTATGGTGGTTACAAGGTTTATCAAACTGACTGACCTCATAATGAGTTAAGGTTGAGAAAATAACAGATAAAATCTGAAGTTTTCTGGGAAAAAATTTTGATATTTATTTAGAAGATTCAAGAGATTATGCAAACGAAATTTGAAAAATATGAAAAATCACTTTGCACTCAGAGCAGTTAACACACTCACTCCATATATTCACAGACACATTTTTACTAAAAGTACTTAATTAAAGGTTCTGATTTTTTGTCTACAAAAGATTTGTAACGTTTACTGAAAACTAGCCATATCTGGTAAAGATACACAAAACATATTAAAAGTTATAGTGCAGATACTCTGATGGTCACCTTGGGGTTAAAAGTCAGTCAGTTTTTGAGGGTAATTGTATTTATTAATTCTAATTATTTTATTAAAGAATGTGAAATTTTCTGTTGCTTTTAGTGATATGATTTGTGTGGATACAGTAGCACAGCGATATGTCTGCGTACTTACAACGCTAGAAACAGAGTTTCAATACCCGCGGTGGGCAGAGCACAGATAGCCCATTGCGTAGCTTTGTGCTTAATTCCAAACAAGCAAAGAAGGAATTTAGTATATTATATATATATATTTAGTATATATAGTATATATTTAGTAGGTGTGTATGTCTATACATATATTATAGTGTGTGTATAAACATACACTTTAGTTATCAAGAATAAAGTCTTCATACCCAAAACAGAGAAAAATTAAATGGGTACATTTTACTAATACATCCCAATATTATAGTTTATACTCTAGTGTTATTTGTCAGTCCTATATATGTGACACTGGTTTTGCCTCTTGTAAAAAAAATGTTTTTGCATTTTATCCTTATAGCTTGCATCATTGCTTTATGCATGTGTTTATGTGTAATATGTTTTCTTTTTGGCTTTGTTGGCTGAAAACCCATTTAAGATATCATTCAAGGTAAGGAAGTGCTGGTTTTATGATCTCTTTCTTGTAGATGTAACAATTATCATAATCTTTATATATATTTGTGTGTGTGTGTGTACATTTTTTATCTGTTTCACATCATTTATACTTAATAGTTGAAGAACAAAACTACACTTTAAAAAAATAATCTTAATATTTCTTTCTTACTGATATTCCAAAAACTATTGTAATTATTTACTGTCAGATATACTGGCTAGTTTTGAGTGAAGTACATGTATGAACATTGTTTCATAAGAATTTTGAATTCAGTATGTATAATGAATGTTTCACAAATATAAATCATGGCTTACTTTAAATAAAGTACAGTGTTATAGCGTTTCAGTTACAGCTGACCAAAGGGTGACTTTAATTATTATTGGTGTTTTATGTTGCATTTTTAAAATATGAATAACTGTGTATGTGTTCAGAATCTGCATGTAATAAAGAAAGTATTATGTAGCCTTAACTGTTGAAGTTAGTGGGATTTAGTTCTCAGAAGTCAAATCTGTGAGATATAAATTTTTCAGAAAAAGTTACTGTTTTTTTTTTTTCATAGGACTCCTTCGATACAGAGTAGATTTCCAAGTTTTAGATCTTACTGATGGTTTTGATGACTTTGACCTTGATGACCTGTAAGAAGATTCTGGTCATGATGTTGTGAGCCAACATACTTCAGAATTCCAAAAACTACTCCCATTACCCTTACAGAATGAACTCTGGCCACTGTTTAATTAGTGTATGCAACAGATGGCGCCTTATTTTTACAGAAGAATGAGATGTATTCTCATGAGAAGTTTATTGCCTAGTTTTTGCAGTGATTGCGGATTTGTGGTGTTTAGAATAAAAAACTTAAAATACTTCCATTTTTGAGCAGAACTGAATATTGAAGTGTTTTGTTGGTTTTACTTCCAGTAATTGTTTAGTTTTATTTATAAAACCATGGAAATTTCTCTCCTAATACTTCAGAGATAAGTAAGTATTACTTTTAAGCTAATATTTTTGGTACAAGCCTTTGGCATTTGTTGATCATATTTACTGTTAATATGTTTTTGTAAAAAAACCTTCTGAAAAGATCATTTAATGTTTTTTCTTGTTAAGCTTTATCTATATCAGGTATTTATGAATTTTGAGTTCTGAATTTGCTTTCCACAAAAGTCTTGCATCAATATCAGATGTTTCCATAAGCAATTTTTAATGAGTTCAACCATGTATTGTAATGGATTATAATAGTTTCGTATAAAGATATCTGACAAAAAATCTGTGGTAATGCAAGTGAAAAAGCTGTAGAACCGAAAGTCCTTTGACCTGTTGTGATTGACATACTTTTTAAATTATAATGTGTACTCCAGCATTATCCATTTACCTTTTTAGTAATTTTATGGTTGAAGGTAACAAATTTTAACTTCTCTCCCACCAAGTTTAATGTGAACTTCCTTTAATAGTACTACCTTAGATTTTACAGTTACAAAACTGTTCATGTTACAATTCATCTCATAGCCATAAAAACTATAGAAAAATATTTTAAATAATTGAAAACTTCTTGTAGGTTGTTGTTATGGTAATTACAGTGGTTTTGATTTTTTATATATTTTTTTGTTATTTATATATGTCTGAGTTTGTAATATTTAATGACACAGTTCCATAATCACCTTTTTAAAAGGTTGGTTCTTTAAGCAACTGAAAGAGATGCCACGGGTGGATAGGTTCATGGGCAGCTCCAATGGGAATTTTTTTAATCATTATGAAATTGTGGTTTTACTCGATTATAAAAGTATATTTATAGTTGTTTTAACACAGATTCCTAAATATGCAAACATATCTGATAAACCACAATAGTAGTATAGATAAAAATATTCCATTATCAAAATACTGAAACAGTTAAAATCACAAATTGAAATACTTGCATATCCATTACATATAATATGTACCACCACATGTAATTTTTCTGAGTACGATGCATTGAGAACATATAGATCATTATTAAACTGTTTATTATGACAATTTCATAGTTCAAGACAATTCTTTCTGCTAGAAGATTGTTTTCAAGCTCAAGCATATGTGAATACAGTGTAACAAATGTATTCACTACTTTATCCATATTTGCTGGTTCATAACAGTGGGTGTGCATGAGAGCTAATCCTGTTAGATGCTCCTGGAATACGGAAGTTCTCAGATGTGTATGTAATCTCCTTACGGTACTAATATTATTCTCACATTCACATGTTACAGATATAGAACAGACTATTGACAAAAGCATGAATATATTAGAATTCAGAGCTGGGTAACATTGCTTGATTTCTGTTGCAGTGCTTTCAAGTTTATCTTTTGTGGACTAGAAGTGCAGTTTCTACCTCATTAACTCTTCTTCTATAAGTTTCAGAGATGGTATGTCACCTTTGTATAAAGAAGTGATATCCACTTCTCTGCTACAGAATACAAATGCTAGTAATTTTATACATTTTAAAGAAAATGCAGAGAACTGGTCATTTGTATTATAATGTGGTCCATAAAAGGTATGGCTGTGTTTCGTAAGTAGTAGTCTAGTATTCAGTAGGAGAGAAAGCTGGTGCATTACCTCTTTAAGTTTGCCTGCCACCTAGCCTTAACATAAAAGGACTTGGTTCATAACAGTCGTGGAGAACAAAGTTCCAGGTTTTTTTTTACAGATAGAAAATACAAATTTGTATGATCATACTGACTACAGTAAACACATTACATATGTCAAGAAAATGTACAGCCAATAGTATAAAATGGAAAAAACAAAAACTTAGTAACAATTATTATATGTAAGTATTCTTGGGATTAAGTTGCCAAGTGATGATCAGAGACTAGCTATTCATTAGAATTATTTATTTACATGATATTGTCAATGAAAGATAAAGTGTTATTTACGTTATTACGAAAGATTGGTCATTTTAGACTTATGCTATATATATTGCTGAGCAAACTTATCCTTTAGCTTCTTGCTCATCTTTTCAAGCGTAGCTTTCTCTTCTTTAACAGCTTGTTTCTAGTTTTATTCAGCTACTCTTCATAATCATCTACAGCTGTATTGCTTTTCCTTCGTAGCTTAAAGACTATATATATCACTGTTGTTGATTTTCCTCTTAAAATCAACATTTTTCTCATATGATGCCTTTTATTGATGCTCCAGATATACCTTGTATGTTGAGTGTGCATTGGTGTGGATGGAGTAGTGGCTATGTTGTAGATCTTACCTACAGCTTTGCAGTCAATGTGCTCTCTTTCTCATATTTTTAACTACCATGGAAAAGCTCTTTCAACATCTGCATGACCATATGTTAGAACTACTACGAAGCGCACTGTATTTTCAAAGTTGTGGGAAATTGTTCCTTTCTTGCCAAATGCTCAAAGTAAAATTAGTCAAGCTTGTTTTTAGGCTAAATACAATATACTCAATTGTGCATATGTTCCTAAAATTTTTATATTGTCCAATGTCTTTGTCACGCTGAAAACTGTATTCACTTTCAATAAGACACAGAAGAATTGTTTTGAAGCTGTTCTGTAGCATTATCCTGCTTCAGATTTGATGGATTGAAACAGCCTAAATCTCAAAGGTGACTTTTCAGTAAATTTATTTACCATTTTTGGAAGAAATTATTTTGCGTCAATATTGAATTCAAGAACTTGTTTCTCCCTGTATTTGGCTTTATGAAAGCCTACATCATTGCCAGTGTAGGTTTTGTAGTTTCATTGTTTGGTGATATCTATTTGAATGAGTTTTATTGGTTTTACAGCTGTCTTCAGAACATCATTTTTGATAAAGTTGTCCATAAAGTTATGGATAAATTTTTTTCAAGTCTTGTGATATGAACAATACCATGGATTGATCTGCATGACATGCTTTTAGGAATAGCTTCTGTTTCTTTGCAGCGAGACATAGGTGTGGATCTGGACAATTAATGACATCAAATTACTTTGGGTCTGGCTTATTTTTTCCCTTTACGTTAGAAATGTACAATTTCACAATGCTCAATATTTAAAGACTTTCAGCAACAATAAAATTCTCCAGCCATCTTTGTTTAACAAACTTGGATGTATGTACATGTCTTTTTCACCATTTCAGAGTCTTCCCTGTGGCAAGAGTCTACTTAACTAGGCAGAATAAGGACATGAGAGAGTCATTTGTAGCCCATCCAAATACAAACTATTGCATGAAATGCATTGTGTGTACTGTTTCTAGTATGCATAACTGATGTTTAACAGGATGGTGTCATAATGTGCATCTAAGTCTTTGCAAAGTGTTAAGCTGACATTTGGACTATCCAGCTGTGGCAAGTTCTGAAATCCATTATATCTCATATGATGAACTAAACTTTCAAGTAAGTTAGGCAATAGCATGGCCCATAAACTCTTGATACCATATAACGTGATCAAATTATTATTTTCCAAAAGTCTATTTTGCATGCAACCTCATGCTCATTCTTTAATTATAAAGGATGTCTGTACCCATTCTGTTTCATGAAAGTTTGTTTATTTCTACATAGTGTATTCCAAGGTTAAATGTGATTAAATATGCACACTTTCCCTTGTTAAATGTGAAGCTCATTGCAATCTTGCTAACAGGAAAATTCTGTAGAACAGTTTCTTTGTTCTTTCACATGACTTAAATAAAGAGTTACTGCTGGTAGCAGTCAAAACCTACATTATTTCAGTCTTAGTTGCTTATGTTTTTAAATTCATCAAATTTCATTAGCTTAATATGTGATGTTTCTCTCAGCATGTCATGTGTCTGCAATAATTGTCAAAAATGAAAGGGCAGATGGTGATTTTGTTCAAAAAAACAACAACTGGTGACTGTTAAATATAGAGAAGGCTTTTTTTTCCCTCCTTTTTTAAATGTACTTTGTTCCAGTTGCATGTGATAAAAGAAGGGGTTCCTTCCTCCATATTACCTTGATAGCTTGGGAGCCAAGGGGGTCAACCTGACATGATCTGCTGTAAAAGGTTGTGTATATTAATTTATTTCTATGACCATCATAGGTTAATTTCTAGGTGCACAAACCAGCAGATCAGCTACTGGAAATATTTTTATAATGTGTGTGAACTGTGGGTGTGGTATCTTCTTCCAAAATATAGGAACATGCAAATGATACGTTACTGTATTATCCATCTGAGGCCGTGAAGAGAATCAATGTGTGTGTATATGGCTTCAAATAAATAACACTTTGGAATACAAATAACAAGTTTGATGTAAAATAATGATGAAACAACATTATGCAACAATTTCAAATCTTCACCCATTCACAAATGATTCAAAATATTATTAGTTAAGCTAGCAAAATGAATTGAGATTTGTGTACAACCTCAAATAACTGATGTATGTTTTGAATATATTCCATTTGGCATGCAGAACATTAATAGAACTAGAATGAACAGCAATTGCAAATCCTCACTTTATTGCAAATACTTCAGATTGAAGTTAAGTGTGGGGATACACGAACCAAGGTACACACATTAGCTTCAATAAGTGATATTTCCAAAAATACAATGAGAACTGCAGAACATTATATATAAAGAAGAATAGTCATTGCAATTTTTATCCATTTGTAGATACTTTAATTAATAGGCTTCAAAGATCATACAGGCATAACAAATTCTGGATCCATACAAAATGATGTGATGATAAGTTGTATTTTGGTACAAACTATGCACACATGATTAAAACAGACAGCAAAAATATGAACTAAACTCAGAATATAAACTAAAATACAGAAGGAACTGTGTCACTTGAAATGTCCATGCAAATAGGATAAAGTTCAGTTTTATACTTTATTCATACTTTATTTTGGTTGCAGCCACATGACACTGATTGTTCATCTCCTGTGGCCAGAGAAGTGTGGTGGCTAGGATGG